GGTTCACAATCAAGCAGAGTTCACAGCAAACTTCTGCAACTTCGGAAAGCCTACGCCGCTAAATTCCTGTACTAGCCTACACCGTGCACAGAAAGCTGGACAATGGTTTGCATTGGATGACACTGCAAAGATGTGGACGAAACTTGACAGCGATGGGGGGCAGGTCAGCACGAGTCAGCACATAGCGTCGCACTAGAAGCACCAGAAGCTCAGCTAGTATCAGCAGCAGGTGGGCATTTTGGTCGTCGTCGTGGTGGTCGTGGCCAAGGCCGTCGCAACGAGCACAGGTGAAAGTGATCCCGTTACTCAAGACACAGTGCGGGGCAGTACAGGGGCCTTAATGATCAAATGAGGACTCGGGGGTAAATAATTGTACTATTTGCAACATGGTACCTTCGTACTCATGCACCCTAATGTAGAGGCCTTAATATTTAGAATAGGGTCATGGGACCCAATATACTATAAGTATAATAAGGAACCCCCCAAAACAGTATAGGTAATTCTTTAGGCTTCTATATTACCGTCGTAATCATGCACCCCAAACTCTAAACGCTAAACCCTGAACACCAGACTCCAAGCCACAAGGAAGCAAGCGGTCCTTCGCGGCGAAAATGTATCCCCTACCTGCCAAAGAGACATGGCGGGTATAACATACTGTTGATGATCTAAATCTTGAATTACCTAAAGGACCCTAAACTATGGGAGTTATGGTTTCTTCCTTGCTATGGATAATGCAGGATTTATATCATCAACTGTAGGATAGGAACCAGCAAAATTGGAGTAGGGTTTCTTTAAGGGTTTCTTTCAAGGGTTACTGTAAGCGTTCTATCAGTGTATAGGGGCTAAAGACCATGAACATGGTAGCCAAATTGAGGCCGGAAACTATAAACAGCTGTAGAATCTCAGAAAACTGGCTACAACGTTCTCATCTTTGTCCGTAAATACTAAGCAGAGACACTCTACGACCCAGCCTTCATAACTTGATGAGTGTAGAAGACAAAGCTATGCAATTACTCTGTCGCCAACAACACCAGATTCGTCAGAGCAGCAACATGCCCAGTGTAAATGCTGCGGGCACAAGCTCCACCAGGCGGGTGTTACCTGTCTCTCTCGCTCTCTGACATATACACGTATATGTATACACATGAACTTCTATGTATGACACACATGTATGTCCATGTATATACATATGCATGCTTACACACACACACACATGGCACAGAGAAAGAACAAGAGACTCATACTAACCCATGTGCATATGGCAGGGAAGTGCCGGCCTGAACAGGTGGAGCACACCGATTGAGACCTCAGACTTGGAGGGAGGCAGCGGACAGGACATGAGCTGGGGGGGGCTTAGGGTTTACCTTAACCTACCAAAACCTACTTTTTTGTAGGGTCCCTATACATTCCATAATAGGGTTTATGATAAGAACCTACAAAAAAGTCGGCTATGGTAGCTTATGGTAGGGCTTCTTTTGTGGTTGTTGCGATTGTGCAACACAGAGCTCTTTTTGGCTCGACTGTTGGTGAAGAGGCCTAGCAGGCGGAACAGCAGCAGTAGAGTAGCAGAAGTAGCATGGACGACCGCAATGGTAGTGGTAGTCGTCGTAGTAGTCGTCGTAGTAGTCGTAGTAGTAGTAGTAGTAGTAGTAGTGCTGCTGTTACTACTACTACTACTACTACTACTACTACTACGACAACTACTACCACTACTACTACTACTACTACTACTACTACTACTACTACTACTACTACTACTACTATCACCACTTCTGCTGCTACTGCAACTACTGCTACTACTGCTGCTGCTATTCCTGCCGCTACTGCTATTAGTGCTACTACCACCACTACTTCTGCTGCTGCTGCTACTACTACTGCTTCTACTACCACTACGACTTCTACTAATCTTTTGCCCTGCGTAGTCTTGGGTTTTTGCTTGTTACTCATCACGGCTGGCTTGCAGCGTTTGACAAGCTTTGCCACCTAATTCGCCGTCCTTCCTGATGCCATGAGTCTCCAAGGACGGCTTTTCTGGTGCCTCTCCTTTGTGTCGCTTTTTCTTATTCCGGATGTGAGTTTGACCGCAGCGTTTGTTGGGCTGTTGGACTGCCATGGGTTTGAACATGTAGGGCAGGCAGGGGTAGGTGCGGCCTCGTTCGCGCGGATAAATGTAGCTATTTACGGGACAGGCAATCCTGTTAGAGTGCTCGGGCTTGCAATGATGAGTTTGGACCGTAACTAGCCCTACTTTCGCGAAAGTCAAGCGATACCCCGTGCGAGGATTGGAGCACTTTCCTCCCAGCGCTTGGCAAGAAGGCAGGTTGCTCTGTCACTGTCATCATCAATGTGAACAGGAGCATCAACATCACCTCCATCGTCCTCCATGGGTATTTTCTGAGAATAATCAACACCACCCTCATCGTCAAAATTTTCCCTGTCATCCATGTTATCCTTGCTGTCGTCGATTTTGTCACCGTCGAGTGGCTACACGTGTGGCTCAAGTTGTGGCTGCAAACTTGTAGCCCAAGCGGAGCTGTTCTGTAGCGGTGCTGTAGCATAGCTGTGGAGCAGATGGCGGAGCAGGAGGGCATGGCCTTTCGCTCGTTTGCGTGGTTTTCCGAATTGTTGTTGGCTCTTGGGGCTCCGTTCCATCTGGCGGTACATGCTTCTTTTTGGTCTGCATATGGTAGGGAAGGCAGGGAGGGTCGGCAAGACGCCTTGGGCTTGATTGACTGCATGGCCTCAGCACGCAGCATCTGGTAAGCGTGCAGGACAGAACAGCACAAACAGTTCAAGAGCTCACCGACATCATGCAGGACTTGCCGAGTGCAATTCTTTTTCCTTGCCAGTGCATCCTGTCAGTCTTGTAGGAGCTCGCGAAGCGCGTTGAGGAGCAGGATGCCAGGTGCAGTTCTTGCGTGAAGCCTTCGTCAGCGTCTTGGAAGTCTAGCGAAGTCTTTTCTTCATTGCTGTCCACAGGCTCAAGTCTCAGCAGATGGAGCAGAAGATGGAAACTGCAGCTCTCAAGCGACGCATGGAGGCACCGGTCTGGCGGCAGAGTTTCGGTTGCTGTTGACATGCTTGACGTCATCGAATCGCTGGCCCTCCTGCTGCTAATGATCCTTCTGCTGGTGCCGCTGCTCCTGATGCTCGCATTGCTACTGCAGCGTTTACAACGCTAAGCTGCTACTGTTGCCGATGCCGCCACCGATGATGGCGTTGATGCCGATGACTCAGCTGACGTAAGACAAAACAGTGACCTTTTTATGGCGGCGACGACTGGTGCGAGGCCGGAGAGGATGAAGGCGAAGCTGATCGCAACTTCCGCCATAAGCGCGATGATGATCTTAAGATTTTCACGCTGATGATTTTCTACTGGCGGAGATGATGATTAGGATATTGATGCTGCCGCACTGAGGCTGATGCTTATGGTCGCGGTGCCTGTTTGATACTGGCGGTGGTACGAATAAGACGGTGCTGATGATGATGCATGAGGCCATAAAGCCTGAAATTACGGTGATGTTGATGAGATCCAGCTGGCTGATATGATGAAAACGGCAGAAGCATATGATGATGCTGAGGTGATGCTTGTTGATCCTTTTTTAATCAATGTTGCGCTGGGGGGATGGGGATGGGAAAGCGACAGCGGAGATCGTGGTTGTTGTGGTGTTGCTTAGTCGAGGTTATGTCGTCGTCGTCGTTGTCGTCGTCGTCCTTCTTGTTGTTGTTGTTGTTGTTGTTGTTGTTGTCGTTGTCAATGTTGTGCTTGTGGTCGTTGTCGTCGTCGTCGTCGGCAAGCGCTCTGGACCATTGTTTGTACTGTGATCATGTTGATGATGCTGATGCTGATGCTGTTGATGCTTATGATGATGATGATGCTGATGATGATGCTGATGATGATGATGATGATGCTGATGATGATGATGACGATGACGATGACGGCTGTTCTGATGCTTGAGCTTGCCTTGTACGGTGACGGCGATGGTCTTATTGAAGACGCATGTGAGGACGACGATTGTTATGATGGCGGTGATGGCGATTGTCATGATGAGCACGAGATTGGAAAGAACGGTGATACTAAACGCAACGGTCATGACGTTGACCATGCTCATAATTTTATGATGATGGTGGTGGTGGTGGTGGTGGTGGTGGTGGCGGCGGTGCTGCAGCTGCTGCTGCTTCTGCCGGTGTGGTGTTGACAGTCGTGAGGACCTCCAGCAGAGCAGTTTGAAGGAGGTGAAGACAGTTCGCCAGGAGCTGTTGGACTTGAAACATCGGCATTCTTGATTGTTTTAGTTATCCATCAGTTTCTCCCAGGAGTACGATCTGGCTTTGGACAGCCTCGGCTCTCTCATTGAAGATGTTGCTCGAAGGATGACGCGTGCCGTGCAACGCTTTGAGGAGCTGCAGACGCCAAGCCGAAGAAACTTTCGATTTGCACCGCCACGCCGCTGCGGCAGTAAAGCAAACTGAAGCAGGAGCGAGGCATTGCAGACTTGGAGCGCACCCGTAAGAGCCCAAGATGCCAAAGCCAAAGGTCCCAACACGGCAACGCAATTTGAGCGCATGCGGTTCTGAGGAGATCAGGTTGAAAAATCGTTGGCGACACACTCCACCATCCTTACCCAGAAAATTGCATCTCGGCGCTTCAGACATGCCCTCGTCCGTTGGTCGGGAGATGCCGGGCTCTTCCTACCTGTGGTCCGATGCTCCACGAACCCTGCTGGAGGATGCTGCCCTGGCTGCTGCGGTTGATCGTTCCAGCCAGGCCAGAAAATAGATCCACCAGGCAACGCTGATATTGCGAGAAATCCTCGTTGCTTTGAAGGCAAGTGATCACGCCGATCGCGAATCCCGCGAAGGCAAGTGTCAATTGCTCGTTGTTGCGCTGCAGAGTGAGTATGACAGCGTACCAACGAAAAGAAGGGCATGTCCATCGTGATTTGTACTTAGGAGACGAGGATCATGGCGGCGGTACTGGAAGTGCATCGGCTAAGAAACCGTACCAGCAGATCGAAACGATGCGTTCCTTGGCTGTGGTCTCTGGCGTCGTCCTGGTTTGGTCTTTGCAAGCTTCTGGAGTCGAGGACGTGTGGAGACGATCGCGCAGATGTTGCGGAACGAGGCCGTGGCAAGCGCAGAAGGTGCCTTCGTTGCCTAAGACAAGCTTTGGACAGAGCCAGGCGCTGGCTCAGACCCAAGCCTTCGAAGCCAAGCTGTCCTCCATTGAAGCCGCGCATTCCGCGGAGGCGAAAAGGCACCGGAGAGTTTCATCTGAGGGCATCTGAGGGCAAAGGCGGTTTTAGGGGAAGTAACTGGCAAGTGTAAGTGGTACCTGCGCTTTCAGGTGGCAAGGCATGCTGTCCTCCTCCTTCACTCAGCTCCAGGAGCCTTGGGCTGGCGGGTTTTGAAGCCATGGCTGTCTGCCTTGCGCTGCAAGTGGCGAGGGTTTGCAGCGTTCCATCTCCCAGCTCGAGTGCGGACTCGCGCCTTCGGGCCCTCAGGCAGAATGAATCCATTTTCGTGTTAGTCCGTTTTCTGTAGAGACCGAAGCGTTGCGGTGTGCTAGGGTGGATCAATCGTGATGCCAGTGGCACCACACGCCAAGCACCTCGGCTTCGAATTGCTTGCATTCCGCGTGGAAAACAGCACAACGTCGAAGCTCTTGTTCCTCCAATTAGCATCTTCGAAGGATTGAGAAAGAGATCACCAGTGCAGAGAAGCTGCGGGAGGAGCGGAGCACGCGGCGGGTTGGAGCCATTTCGAGCCCCCAGAATTGAAACAGGATCTGTCCCGCAAGCTGCGCGGCATCGCTTCCTCCGTGAACGGGGCCCTGGTGTCACTGGAGTCGCAGGCAGAAACTCGAGGCAAGTTGGAGAGCACCAGCTGCGAGCGAGAGAGCTGTGAGACGCCTCAAGCCAGGTCAATCCCCGCAGCGAGCACGCAGCCCGGTGGTTCTTCCGCTGAACCCTGCTGGTACGATGGAAAAGCAGATGAGGCCGAAGTCAGAGTCAAAATCCCCCACTCGGCTGCGACGGTCAGAGAAAGCGTTCTCCTCAAGCCCCTACCACTGGCAGGCAGAGGACAGAGAAAGACCAGGTGCCTCTTTGTCAAACTGCGAACGGTGCGAGCGTAGCCCTCAAATGCCATCACAGGCGCGATCGCCTCCACCGGGCATTCCAATGACAGGTCCTCTTGAGATGCGTGAGGACGTTGTTGCACTTCAGTCCGGAAGTAGAATGTCTCAGTCTTCACAAGCAGCATCCTACCATGGATCTTCCATTTTTCTTGCTTTAAGCACCGGCCTCGGCGATCATCTTCGCGGATGTCGGGGTTTTAGAAGATTAGGCTTATCCTTCCGTATTTTCAGGGGCTTAGGCTCTAGTTCATGTTCATTCTGACCCACACGTCCCTCAGTCCGTTGGCATCTAGCTCCTTTCTGTGATTAGAGTCTTGTTGCTCGTAACGAATCGCGTGTTGATATACGAAGAAGTGACTTGCATCCGAGTGGTCCCTAAAAGCCAAATGGGTGGAAGCCGGAATCCATCGAGAGGACCTCAAGCACCGAAACCAAACTTATTTGTTCTCCAACTTTATTCCGAGAGAGGTGCTGAACAATGCTGGCTTTTTGTGTAGGTGCCTCTCGATACATCCTGATGGTCGCAAATCGAAATTATCGACAGGTCACTAAAATTCACAATGGGTGGAAGCCGAATCCATCGAGAGGTCCCTAAGTTCCTTAAGAAACTTATTATTATCCACCTACATCTCGGGGGAGACTCTGAAAGGTTTTTTCTTCGAGATGGTCGCAAGCCGACATTGAGAGGTTCCTACATCACCGATGGTGGAAACCGACTCCATCGTAAGATTTCCAGAAAACAAAAAACGCATACATTCTTCAACTACATTGCGGGCAAGACGCCGGAAAGCTCGAGGGTTTAATGACCTCTCGATGCTTTCGGCTTGCGACCACTTCGAAGTATAGAGGTCCTTGAAAAACCCAGTCTTTTCAGTGCTTCCACCGGGAGAGTCAAAGAATAAGTTGCTTTTGGTTTCCTTGGTGATGTCTCGATGGATTCGGCTACCCCCAATTGGGCTTCTAGGGACTCCAAAGTATTGTCGGTGCGACCATCACGAGGTATCGAGAGGAACTCTCTTCCTCGGAATGCGTTTTGAGGAGAGCAGAAAGCAAGCTTTTCAGTGCATCCTTTTTTTGGGTACCCCTTTAGGGATTCGGCTTCCGCCCATTGGGCTTTAGGGTTTGATGCTGTCCTTCGGAAACATGTCACATCCATTCGTAGGCTCCTTCGTTGCTGATGTTGTGTACTCGATCGGGTCGCTTATCCAGCCTTGAAACGGCAAGGCATGCACAGGCAAGTCGGGTGGGCCGGCGGGGCTTTACACAACTCAGTTCAATTGAACGAACGAACTAGCTGGCTACGAAACAGCTGATGAACTACCAACTAAATAGTTAAGATACGAGCGAACTCACGACCGGACGAGCTTACCAATTAATTGATTAATTACTTCATTTGCTAGCTAGCTCGCTCGACAACTAGCTAGCCAGCTAACCAGCTAGCTAACCAGCCAGCTGACTAATCGCTAACTAATTAGTTCACTAACTAATTATTGAACGACCTAACAAACTAGCTGATTAACCAATTGGCTAACTAGCTAGCTAACCAGATTATTTGCGCACTAGCTAACTAGCTCGCTAACTCGCTAAGTAGCTAGCTAACTAGCTAGCTGGCAATAACTAACTAACTAACTGACTAACTAACTAACTAACTAACTCACTAACTAACTAACTAACTAACTAATCAATTAACTGTAGCTAGCCAGCTAGCCAACTGATTAATTAAGTAACTAAATAATGAACTAGCTGGCTAGCTAGCTAGCTAGAGCTAACTAGCATACAAACTAAACTAACCTTTTACACTAGTTAACTAAACTAACCAACTAGCCAACCAGCTAAGTAACCAATTACTTAATTACTGAATTAACTAACCAACCACCTGCCCGCCCGCCCACGCACCCACCAACCCACCGACCACCCACCGACCACCCACCGACCACCCACCGACCAACGCACCACCCACCCACCGACCAACCCACTGACCGACCGACCAACCACCCAACCACCCCACCAGCCAACCAGCCGGCCAGCCAGCCATCCAGCAAGCAAGCAACCAAGCAACCAAGCAACCAATCAACCAGCCGGCTGGCTGGCTGGCTCAATGGCTGGCTAGTAGCTAGCTAACTAGCTAACTCTCAAAGCGACTAACCAAACAACCAACTAACCAACTAGCTAAGCACCGAACTAACTAATTAACTAACCAACCAACCAACAAGGCAATTAACCAACTCAGTTATCTAAAGAAAATCCTAGGCTGACCTTCCTGGTTCTATCCGAATCAGATGAACCAGAAACAGGGTGGAGGCAACTCGCCTATATATAAGTTTGAGATATATATATATATATATTTATATATAATATGCAATTAACCCGAATACTAGGCAAATCCGTGAATAGATAAACAGGTAAATAGGTAAATAGATGTGTATATATATATATATAAATAAACGCTCAAGCATACAAGCAACTAGGTACAGAAGTAAGTACGTATGTAAGTAACGACATACCTCAATAAATATCCAAATACGTAGCAAACATAGGTAGGTAGGTTGATAGATAGACAGATTGATAGAGAACTTGTCAAATGAGCAAACCAGCAAGCAAATTAATAAACATAAGTACGACAACAAACATTCAGTCAATACATCAGTACATAAATAAACTAACAAACAAGCAAACAATAAGTACATATACACTTTTCTATATATATATATATATATGTGTATACACACTCACACGTTGGAGTCATAGTTGTACATACATATATAATAAGCACAGAACAACGGCAAAATTGCGATTGCCGCTTGGGCAAGCCCGAAGCCCTATTCAGAACCGAACATCTGGCAGCATGGAAGCCAAAGTCTCGTTTGAAGGCTCAGGACAAGATTCTTTCATGTCCTTCCAGACGATTGAAACGTCGGCCATGAGATTCCTCTCCGGAGTAAGCATCGAACTGCAAGGACGGTGGAAGACGCCCTGGAGTGCCAAACAGAGGCCACAACACCACACATCTCTGAGCAAGTTCTCTTGCACGTCGTGCTTGTTGGAGCCTCTCAGGCGGAAGCACCATGATACCAGTAGCGTGCGCAGCTGAGGGCACCTGACAGCTGGTTCAGTTTGCCACCTGCCCGCCACAACCGGGCCTCGAATGTACTGCGAGGAGCACATCACCCGGTGGTGCATGCGGCGCCATCGGCTTAGCGGTGGAACTCAGTTAGTCTGTCTGGATACATGCACATACATACACAGACACATCCGAAAGAAAGGAGTAAGGGGACCACTGTACGATACTGCAACGTCGACACTGAGGCTTATTCGCCTCAGCGAGATGAGGCAACGAACGGAGGCCCCTTTGGTGGCTTGTCAGCTCGGCCCTCGGCCGCCCTGGGCCCTCTCTGTCAGGGAGTGCGCTGGATGCCAGTGCTCACGGTGTCAACCGACTGGGGCTGCAAGCTGAGCTCTCGATTCTCGCAAGCCGAGCAAGTTTTAGCGACTGGGGTTCTCAGGTCGACTCAGACGACGCCTCTGCGGAAGAACTCGTCACGCTTGCACATCGGGTTGAACGGCACGCATCCTGCCGGAATGGCCTCGGGCCGGACCGCACAATTCCCCAAGTGAGTCTGTTTCGAGTCAACCTGGAGTGTTTCAAACGAGAGGACTTCCGTTGGAGACGCTGACCTCCGCAATTCCGTGGCTGACCTCCAGCGCTCTCGCCCTTGACCTCAGTTTTCGCTGTGAGCACACGATCTTCGTGCATCCCACACGAGTTTGGCTCGACAGGAACCTTGGTGCCGCTTCAATCTCAGCATTCGTTTTTCCCTCACGTGACTGAGCATCAGTGCACCCTTGGGGCAAGCATTGCGCTTCCTTTCCTCAGGACCCCGATGGCAGCCCACACACAAGTTCGGCCACAACTGCAGCCACAAGCGCATGCGCATGTGCACCCGCACATGCAGCAGCAAATGCAACAGGCGCGTGGCCGTGGTGAGTGTCCTGCTCTCGATCCTGGCCACTGATAGGTGCGCAAGATTCCCGGCACCATGGGCCTGCGCTCTGGGTACCATTCTCCAAACGTTCAGGCCAGGGAGCTTGTTGTTCAAGGGTTGCCTGGTGTGACTCTGTGTGACGCTGTTCCATGACTGGGCTGATTGCAGGCACGAAGCCCAATGCCGGCTGGATGCCACCACATCCAGATCTGAGCCATGACTGGGTTCTTTCTGATGTGAGTCTTGCGGTCGTCATCCTTTGGTGATCTTTCGTGTGTGGGTCTCTAGCGTGTGCATTGGCCACAGACAACTTGACGGCCGTTCAGGCCAATTGCTACTGTAATGCATCAGAAAAAGGACGACACCAACCGCCTTTGCAGCAAATTCCTCGCTTTGCGCGACGCTCAAAATGCTGCGTGTTTCAATCTCTTACCTCAGCCCTTATGCTGAGATGCATGGCCCGATCGACCTGTCCTGAAGTGCCCCTCGTAGGAACATTACTCTGACTACTCAGGCTTTGTGCGGGTGGCAGATCAAAAGGTCGGGGGGAAGATCTGAGTGCTTAAATCTGCGCTCATAGAGGCGATTGCTGGGAGCTGAATAGCGCCGCGCCTGATGGCTTTAATACGCATCCGCGCCGAATCTCGCAACGAAATGCGTGGAGGTGGCAGTGCGCAGTAGGGATCGTCGTGAACTGTCTGACGCATTAGCTGCATCCTTCGAGCGGATTTGAGGAGGGGTCTGGAGAGTTACGACAGGCATTCCTGAACTCGGGCGCCTGCTGACGCTTACACTGCCAGAGGTCTGCAGGGTCCAGTTGTAGTTCAGCCTTCATCAATTTAATCAGCCCCTCAATCTTCGCGAGAAGCACAGGAGTCCAATGCATCAATATTTAGGAACAGCCCTGAATCCAGTTCAGTAGCGGGTGTCTGAGCGGCCTGGCGTGCCAGATCTTGAGTACATGAAGCTTGGGAGGCAGGCTCAAGCAGAGCTGAAGGCTGTGTAAATCTGCCCGCCTTGGCCACGCATCATGGCGAAGCAAACCCTGAGATATGCCATGGTCGGTGGTGGCCAGGGTTCATGGATCGGTGATGCACACCGAAAGGCTTTGGCTTTGGACAACACTGCCAGGCTCGTCGCCGGCTGCTTCTCTTCCAGTCGAGAGCGGTCGCAGGCATTTGGCGAAGCTTTGGCTTTGCCAGACTTGCGCGTTTACGGCTCGCCCTCGGAGCTCGCGGAGAAAGAGGCGGCTCTTCCAGTAGACGAGAGGCCGCACTTCGTCGTCATCTGTACACCCAACCGGCATCACTTAGAGCAGATTGAACTGCTAGCTGCCAAGGGTTTCCCGATTGTCTGCGACAAGCCGCTCTGTGAGACTCTGGCCGAAGGAAAGCAGGCCCTGGCAGCCCTGGGCGGCGGCCTCTTGGCCCTGACTCACTGCTACGCAGGATACCCCATGATCAAGGAGGCTCGGTCTCTGGTCAAGAAAGGTCGCTTGGGCACGCTTCGCAAGGTGGTTGTAGAGTATCCACAAGGCTGGCTTGTGCCAGAAGAGGCTAAGGATGGCAAGCCGGCGATGAGTGCCTCCACCGGTGTCTCTAGTATGGTCGACGTGGGCACGCATGCAGAGCATTTGGCTCGATATGTTACCGGCCTCGAGGCCAAGGAGGTCTTTGCAGACGTATCTAGTTTTGTCACTGGCGGCCCCCGTGCGCCAGATGACTTCAATGTGCTGATCCGCTATGAGGGAGGTCAGCGGGGAGTGCTGATTGCGTCGCAGTCGTCATCTGGGGAGCAGAACTGCTTGCGCCTGAGGGTGTATGGCTCGGAGGGATCTCTCGACTGGATGCAGGAGGATCCGAACATCCTTACGATGCGCCTGCGTGACCAGCCAGTACAGACGCTCCACCGTGGACAACCCTACCTCAGCCCCGAGGCACGTTCCTGTTCCCGCCTTCCACCGGGCCACCCGGAGGGCTATCTGGAAGCCTTTGCCAACATCTACCGCAGCTTCGCTGCTGCAGTGCAGGCACGGGACACTGGTGCGGAGGTTCCAGAAGTCGACTTCCCCACGGCAGCAGATGGCATTGCCAGTTTGGCCTTTGTAGAGGCAGTTTCCAAGAGTTCTGAGGCAGGTACGTGGGTCCGCGTCTAGTCAGTCTAGCCGTGATTCTCACGTCCAAGACGTCTTGAGCTCGTTTTAAGCAAGAGCCCAGGATCCTTCAATTCGGAGTCCGGGGTGCAGTGGGTGCTACCTGGCCATTTGGGCTGGTGGGTCTCCTTTCATTTTGGACAGAAACGAAGTTCAAAGATGCTTCGAAAAGAGCAGTGCATCGATACGGTATGCGGTATGCAGTATTCATAGTCTTAGCATTCCTCACCCGGAAGATGTAGTGTCGGGTTTCACTTGCTTCATAGCTTGCATAATAGTTGCAGACCGGACAGCTTGAGTACTGGGCGTTTCGGTCATTCGACCTGTGCATCAGGAACGACCCGTTCACCAACGCTGGTATTTGCATCGAGCCTGACCTGTCTTATGACGTGGACATGCAGGCTGAGGAGCACGAGGCTTTTGGAACCTTCCGTGCTGCCAATGCGGCCTGTCACTGCAGGTGGTCTTCTCTACCGCAGCAAACTTGCGGTAGTTTTGTTTTGTTTTGGGTTTGACACATGGATCAACTGCGAATTGACCGCCAGGTCCCGCACAGGAGCACGATCTGGAAGTGTAGTTGTTCCCACAACGGCATGGACACATGAGGTTTATCTAGGGGGTTCCAGGGGGTTAACTTGTCTAATGCGCGCACTCCAAGAGAAGGCACAAACAGCCACATCGAATCTTTGTTGCTCTATTTTGACGGCTTGCAAAACGGCCTTGTCCGGCGGATCCAGTTTCGGCCACGACACCAGTTGCTGAGGGAGAGAAGCACAATCGTGGCCAGAGGTTAGAGAACACATCAGTGCCCAATCACCTGCCGGCGGGTTCGCAAGGGAAGGCTAGCAAACACGAGAAGCACGGGAACAGGCCGCTAGCCTGCCGTTCATATCATTCACGACGCTTTGATTTTGGCTGGAGAAGGTGAGTTCGGGGTCCAAGGCCATAGCGGGCGCCATGACCCGTGGAGGCCAAACAAAGTGTATGCACAAGACTTGGGAGCATGAGATCTGGGCCGAAAGACGTTGGCCTATCCAAGTTGGCCCGCTCCGACGTCGGCGAAAAAGCCCAACGAAATCCTGTGGGTCCAGAGTGATGGCTGAAGTTGTGGATCAAGCAAAAAGAGTTCGTGCTGAAAGCAGATGATGGGGCGTGTTCGTACATGAATTCATACAACTCACTAGCAGGGTCTTGCTAGACATGCTGACATCCTTCGAAGCAGTGGTGGCAATGGCTTTGGAAGCGAGGTTTCTTAAAGGCGTACACTCGTGGAGTAATGCTTCGTTTGACGACGGTGCGCAGATGCTGGGATCAACACAGGATATGCAAGCGCAGCTTGTTTCATCAAAGAAGGGGAAAGCGTTCAACGGCCTAGTTGCGATCCCTTTAGGCTTTATGTGTTCTGTTTATCATCATCATGAAGACAGGAAGCTTGCGCCATGAGCATCACTGGCACCCTGCATGCGGTATCAATAATATCTTGCGCGGGCGACCCGCAGAGAGCGACACCAACTCGTCCGCCATCGTGATGGAGCCTGTGGGTGGTTTGTACCGAAAGGTCGTTATCGGCTCCGGGCTCAGGACTTCGTTGTGATGCAAGACACATGGAGGTCTTCCTGGCCGTAGAGCTGAATGTTTACTGAAGGCAAGGAGCAGAGCCACCGAACCAGCTTCATGACCGGGCACTTGCTGTGGCAGGACTGATAGTCTTGGAGCCAAAACCATCGTTGCGCTTCCTTGCACTCAAGAGTCTTGATATGACCGTCCTGGGCCATGTTTCGCTTGCTCTTTCAGTCAGGATCGATTGCGCGTTGAGCAGCAGCAGCGGGACAAACAGCTTAGCAGCTGGCACAAGAAGCCCCGATCTTGGCGCCTGTTCAGCGAATCGCTTCTCCAAATCTCCCTGCGAAAGGCTGGGGCTCCACGCCCCAGGATCCCCAGGGCTGGCGAACCCAGAAGAAGGCGCGGACAGGAGCTCCGGTGCTGCTTCCACGCTGCAACTCCCTTTTGCAGGCAGTCAGCTTTTCGAGACCAGGACAGGGTCGAAGCCCTTGGCAAAGCTTTTTGGTTCTCCGGGAGCCTCAACTCTGAGCTTTACAACGGGAGCTCCGACAGACCGGAGAATGAAAGCAAAAGGCAGCATCCTGGAAGAAACCCCCCATGCACGGAAGCAACACTGGCAGGATGGCGAGAGATCGGCTTCTTTGGCAGGACTCACAAGGACTGCTCCCATGAATTTGTGTCGTCATGTTCGCTTTGCACACTCCCGGTGGCCACCTTCCATCTTTTGAGTTCATCGCCGTGGAATGGTTTGCGCTGAGCACGCAGGTCCTGGCAGTCGGAATCCTGACCTCGAGCTCCCAAGCTGCAGCGAGGTGCTTTTTGTTTTCTGCGTGTCACCCCGTCACCGATCGGCCTCGTTCTTGCCGAACCGGCTGAGAAGAATCATAATCACCAGGTGGGGCTTGTAGGTGTCATTGTTTTCTGATTTCCCACAAGCCCGAAAATGCAATAAGACTGCCAGCGACAGGAATGCCCTGACCGCGACCTGGCCTGTCAAAGGTCCGCGAAAATAGATTACCCGTGCACCGTTTTCAAGTAATTCTGAGCTGTTGGACCGTAGGGCTTTTCCTTTGTGTTGGTGTAGGCGGTGGGGGGCTTGGAGGCTGCAGACAACACTGGACCCGTGCGGAAGTGTCGGCATGGGCTCCGGTCCTGAGGTGGTTTAACAACACATCCCGTACCAGGGTATTTAAAACGCCTCCGTTACTATGCATTGCATATATAGTTAGCCCTCCGACCACCCAGGACTTTGGCTGGTCGTCGTGAAGCTGAGCGACAAGGCCCTGCTAGGGCATCGCATCGTGCACTCTGCATCCATTCCGAGTTAGTGAGCCTGAGCCTGTCCTCGAAGAAGCGCCTTGCCCATGACTGCCAACGCTGCGCTCCAAAGTTCGGCTGGCGACTCCCCGGCTGCGAAGCTCCCCGGTCCCCTCCATGCCAACTTTCAACCTGACCAGCGCTTCTGTCCTGTAGTGTCAAGCAGCAAGCATCCACTGGCAGCCATGGTGCGGCGGCGGTGGCGATGAGCCGGTGCCATCGCTTTGCATAAGCGGAACAGATTGCAGCAGAGCTAAGGGAGCCCCATTCAGGGACCTGTCACATGCCCCATCGCACTGTGATCCTGGTTCAGAAGCGGGCCCATCCATGATTTTTTCCAACCGGCTTGCACAAGAGGTACAGGACGATTGTCGGCATTGTGGTGCTTGCCCTTCTTCTGCAAGGCAAGGCCTTGTCACTCGCCGGTCTTCGACATGGACAATGGCAGAGATGCCCAACGGATCCGCTGCAGGTGTGCCTATAGCGCTGCTCTCTCGGCTTGCGGGCCCGGTACCCACGTCTTGTGAGGCGTCTAAGCCGCTGTCTGGGCCTTTATGGCGCAGTAGGTGGAGTCTAGGAGTCTGGCATAGTCTGGCCCTTCAGTTGACGCCCACCTGAATTACCAGACGTCTCGCAGCCGTCGCGGGTGCTTCTGCAGCTTGTAAAGGCCATCGTGGTCCTCGGATATGCCATTGACTGGAGCACAGGGCGTGTCCCCGAGGCGCCACCCCGTGTCTGCGAGTGCACGGGCTGGCGCAATCAAATGTGAGCTCGATAACGTGAGACCGTGAGACCACATGCTACCCTAAACACACCAGACAGACAAGCCCACCGCCAGGGTGGCCTGCTCTCGCAGCGCTTGGCGCTGGCGCTCACCGCCCTTGATGAAGCTCGCGTGCCGCATGCCGTCAGACAGGATCGAGAGTCAAACGAGTGCGCATGGACGACTGCATATGTACATGACATGTACTTACTACGACGACGACTAGTGCTACACACTATTACAGCTGCAATCACCTACAACACTTTCGTACTGCGGCTTCTGCTGCTACTACTACTACTAC